AACTTTTACATACATGTACGTATGTACAATTGCACCCCCGGTTTGCCGCGCTGCTGAGCAGACAATGCGAGAGAGCAATTCATTCACACGCGATGCATAATGGGCGAGTGTTTATGCTCGACTTGATAAATTGCGTCGCAGCGTTACACAGTCCTTAATGCCCGCGGCCGCATTAGAATAATAATGACGGACCGACAAAGCCCATTACCGTTTTGTCCTCTTGCTATACCCGTACATTGTTGCGCGCAATGTCTCTTTTATTGTCACACTGCAGGTCTCGTGCCCTCTCTGCTAAATTGAGGCTTGATTGCCGTCCTCTGCCATACCACGTCGACCGTCGACCAAGAGAGATGGAGAGAGAACGATTCGCAAGGAAACACCCCTCTCTTGAAGGAATAAAGAAGGGGTTGGAAATTTTATAGATATTAAATAATTTGAAAGCTAAAATATAAATTAAAACAATAATTTGTTTAACATTTTAATTAAATATACATAATGGTTTACTTACATTAATATTGTTATGATATTATTATTTAGTTTAGTTTATTAAATTGTATTATATAGAGAATTTTTACCTATAAAATTGAATCAAAAGACTTTATAAATTGTTTTTCATCTAAATCAACAAAAACAATTATTATATTTAATGATTAAGGCCACATCTGAATTATTTAGTGCTTTGTTAAAAACATACTTATTACTGATCTTGAGTGACGAATCCTTAAAGAAAAAATTAATTGTATAATTCTTGCAATAAATTTAAAAAATCCTCAAAACCTCCAAATGAAATAGGAATTAGTATTGCTATAATTTAAAATTTAATTTTACTTGATTAAACAGTTAAATTGAACTTATAAAGATTTGTATGTACGATCTTGAGTTCATCTGATTCAGATCAATTCAGACGAGAGTTAAAAGCGCAATAATTCATTCATTCCAAATTCACGGGCCTTGACGTGTATTTTCGGGCCAAGTGGCTGCTTTTTAAAAGGAATGCACAAAAATGCGGCGCAACTTATTTCTTTTTCGAGCCAGAAAGAAAAAAAAAACAAAACGCGTCGCTTTTGTTTACACCATCAAAGCCAAGAGGAAGAATACCAAAGTGCGCGCGTTTGAGAAGAGAAAAATAGTGTGTGTCCACTTTCAGACCCACCAGGTAGCAAATTATCACCTCGTCCCAAATCCCCGACGGATAACAAAAAGGAAAGCCTCTCTTTGATGCGCCTCAAGATGAGAAAATGACACACACGCCTTTTTGAAAACACAAATAAATTTAATGCTTCCTCTTTACACTTTCTTCCTTTGTGCAGCGTCCGAAAATAAAGAGAAAGAAAGAAGTCAATTTGACGCTAATCCTTCTGTTCTTTGAACTGTGTATGTTTGAAAATAGTGGGGTAAACGAATTGCGAAATGTAGTTTTGTGAAGAGCTAAGAGTGGCGTACATTAAAAAAAAAGCTATCCAAGAGTTGAATTTTCAAAATGTAACTTATAGTGAATTATGTAATTAAACTGAACATACTTTGTTTAGCATGAAGTAAAATCTAGTTGAAAAAATAACAACGAGCTTCCATAAATCTCTATTTTAAGTTGATCAAGATTAAATCAATTTTCTTTTATAATGTTAAATAATTAAGGTGAATCTGGAAGTGCTAAAATACTTCCAAATTTTCTTAATTTTTTTTTAATTCATGTTCAGAAACAAATAGATATTTTTTCCCTGTAAGCAATGGAATTGTATAAAAAAAAAAACTCATAAATCGAAGAATGTGTCAGCCTTTATATGAATGTTTGTAAGAAATAAGTACTAATGTGCCTGACGAAAAGCGTTTAGTCCAGGCGTGTCTCTGCCGCTGCAAGGCCATAAACTACAATTTAAGACCGAGAGTTTTTAATAATCCAAATAGCGCGCAGTAGTTCTGGGGAGCTTTTTCTTGTAAATACACACACACAGGGGTAGTACATTAAGGAGGAGGTCGGCGAGAAATGAATATGCAGCGAGCCCTTCTTGAAAGCAGCACCACCGACGACCAGTCGCTCTCAATTATTTATTATTCCAAGGCATGTGTGTTGCTTGATGACTGCGGAGCACCAGTGATTTATTGCCCCCGCCTCGGCTGCTACTCACTCGGATGGTCTGGCCTCTGTTTCGACTCCACTAAAATGCACCAATATAATACACAAGCATTGGGGACTGGAAGGATAGCAAAGAGTCAAGTGCGCGCAGACAGGAAAATTGGGTAATACTTAACAAAAAATGTTTCTACCTGAAACCTGCCTGAAACTAAGACCGTCGATTTTAATTTTAAAAATAAAAGAAAACAGACAATGATAATGCAGTGAAATTTAATTAAACCTATTATTTTTCTTCTTACAGTGATTTTTTCATTATTTATGCATTGTATTTGATTATATTGTTCTCATTGTTTTTTTGGTTCAATATTTACATCAGTCTCATCGTTTGAGTTCAATTTTCAAAAAAATTTAATTTTAAATGTCGATATAGTTGGAGTTATGTAGAAACAAATTAAAGAGAGATGGAGAACTTGTCAGACTTTAATATTTTTTTATAGGAAAAAATTATCTTAATTTATTCAAATTTTAAATTCTAAAAATTGACCATGTTCCAATGTGAATTTCTAATAAAATTTGATTTTTTTCTATGCTTTTGTGCTTGCTTAATTATATGAAATGGAGAAAAACAGTTATTATACTGTGCATTTATACTCCTAAATCAAAAACTACAAAAAAGGAACGCAATTTGTTGAGCACCGGCGTCGCACAGGTTGCATATCTGGCCGCGAGCAGGCGCATCTCTAAATTCAATCTTTGAGCAAATTGCGTGGAAAAATTGAAGGAAATCATTTTTGGCTGTGCCGTGAATTGTTATTCCTCGAGAGTGGGTGAAAAGTTGGTTGCTGAAAAACTCCTTTTCCTCGGGGCGGGAAAGAGAAAGAAAAAGATGCCTGATCAGCAGTAGTCGGCGAGTGGAAGGGAGAGAAAGAGCCCTTTTCAAATCACTCCCTGATTGCTCCATTGGCGGTCATTTGTAGAGCTTGCTTTCGCAATCACATGATCTCGCATTATCCCGGCCCGGGAAAATCTCTCTCCAGTGGCGAGTGCTTTTCGCTCTCAGCCGAGTGCGGTTTCCCACCGACGACAATTCAAGAGAGTGACCGCTCGGCTGGAAACTGCACGGGGGAGGAATCGGATTATTCAACTCCAATTAGGCCCCGCGAGATACGTAGATGAATTATTTATATATCGACATCATCCCAGCAACTCTCCTCATTTTCAAATAAAAGTTATTTGATATTCAAAAAATGTAATAATAAATTAACTTATTATATGGAATAAAATATTTTTTATACATATGGAGAAAATCTATTTCCAGGTAGTTTTAGCTTAAAAAATTATCAACTAAGAAGGAAACTAACCAACAAAAATTTGCATTTTTAACATAAAAATTGAAATCTCTAGAATAATTTTAAATGCTGCTAATTTTTCCTTATTGTTCGTTATTTTTTAATTAAATTATTTCTCAACTTCCTGGATTGTATTAGAAGCAAAATAATTCTCCCAATAAATCATTTACAATTTTATTACATGGTAAAAGTTTCACTGGAGTAAATAAACAGTTCGGTCACTTGATTGATGCCCTATTTCTTTTTTTATACACTGTGCGCGGTGAAGGGTCTTCTCCGGTTGCAAATGCGTTCGACGCCGATTAAAAGCCCCTGTGCATCAATCTCTCTCCCTCCCACGCCCCGATCCAATTTCATTCACATCCATCGTTATTCATACGCGCGGTGTATATTAAGGAGTTAATGCAGCACTTAGGAATCAATGTGTCTCGCAAACACGAACACTACTTGTGAGTGAGCATTAGGGTCATTTAGCGCGTTTGAGATACCCAAGTGTGTACTTAGGGGTATCAATTACACGGCGAAAAGTGGACGACGAGACAAAAAGAGCAAAGGCAGCTTGGGCGGAAAATCAATTATGATGATATTTTGGTCTGGGCCAGCATTAAAAGAATAAGTTTTAGCCCGTATAGAAACAATATTACCACTCAATTTATTCAAATTTTTAAAAATGTTTAATGAAAAAACATTAAAAATATTTCAAGCAACGAAAGTTCGTCAAATTTTTCAAGATAAATTACTATTATTTATTTGTTTAAATCATTGTTTACAATCAATTTGTAAATGAAAATTTGTTAAAAATAGATATGATGATTAATATTGACAAAATTATTTTAAAAAGGTCTAACATTAGTTCAGGTTTTTCATTATAATTAAAAAAGCACTCAACCTCTTTTCTCCGTTCGTTTTTACTTCCCACCGCAAAAATGCACCCGTTCCCTTCAATTTTTACTCCTCTCTCTTTTTGTCACGCCATAGAATATAAAAATCGAATGAAAAGTAATCACTTCAGCCAAGCGAGAAATCACCGCACCCCAGCCGCCCCGCGACGGGTGGCGGCAAAAGCCACCCCCGAACTATCATGCCGAGCGTAAATAAACAATCAGCCGTAAATTGCGGCAGTGCCAAATAATCGGCGCCGGGCCACGTGTCTGAATCGCAATTAGCCATTGTGTGCCTCGGACGATTAGTCGAAAGAAGGACCCTCCGATCGAGAGCGAGAGAGACCCTCCAGAGCAGGGGCGTGTCCGACCCCTGACGTCACCCCTGCTCGCTCCGCCCCGAGAACGTATCTTGAGAAGGACTTCAACGTGGGGATGTGCTCGGTTAGAATAAAAAACCGATTGTTTGCAAAATTTGTTAAATACCGGCTTGAAATTTAAACTTAGAATATTTCAATTAATTTTTAATTTTAATAATTGTAATGATTTTTACTTCAAGCATCAAAATTTATATTCAAATCTGTCAAAATAACGCAGAAAATCACTTTTTATAAAAACCGGTTTTGTGTTCCAATCTGCCTCTGCACTGATCAGTGCGCGGCACCAAAATTAAATTTCATTTGGTCGGCGCCCGCGGTCTGCATGATGACGGCCCAAGTGAACGAGCCCCCGGAGACCTGCACGGCCTCCGGGGAGCAGCAGCCCCCGCAGCCCACCCCCTTCTCAATCAGCGACATCCTGAAGCGTTCGGCCGCCGCCGCCATGGGGGCGGCGCGGAGGCCGTTTCTGCCGCACCAGCCCTTGCTGTCACCTCTCGCGCACCTCACGCTCACGTCGCCTCCGGAGGCGGCCGTTTCTTTGCCGCCCCCGCTCATGCCGGCCGTCACCCTGCTGCAGCTGCAACAAGAGGTGGCCCTCGACATGACCAGGAAGAACGCGCTCAGCATTTTGAAAGCAGGTAAAAAATATAATAATAATTTAGTATAAATAACTTCGACCTTTCATCAATGAATTTGTATTAAAATAACAAAATTTATTGTAAAACTGCCCCATAATATATATAATTATAAGAAACAGTGTTTTTTTATTACCTTTCTTGTTCTCATAAAAGATTTAGTCATATTTTTGTAAAGTTTTAGTACAGTGTCAAATTATTTGAAAACAGCAACATTATATAATTAAATGGGAATTTTAAATTAAAATTGTAATTATAATGAAAACAATGTCAAAATTTAATTTTGGCCGCTAGATCTGTAAAAAAAAAAAAAATACTAAGAAGTGCTGAGAAGTCATCAATTGATTTTAATTTTACTTGTGTTTTCCGTAACAAAATGATAAGGAAAATTCTCTTTGCCGAATTTTTGAATTTCTTACTGAGGAGTTTTTCCACAATTTCCGAAAATACTTCCTACAATACAAAGGCGAATTGTGTGAGATAAGAATTAAAATGAGAACATTCTGTGATTTTTCCAGTCATCATCTTGATGTTTCTCTCATTTCTTTTAAATATTCAAAATTTAGTGCATTTAAGAAATATTATATTTTTATAATTGTTGCTCAATTCAATATTTTTCGTGTTGCAAAAAATTCACTTCAAGTAATTGTGTGAAACAAGGAAAGTATAAATTATATTAAACTCACATTTTTTTTTATTTCTTAGCAAAATTTGAAAGATGTATAAACAAACAATTGATAGCCAAAACAAATCCGGGCGATCGTTGTCTTCTATCTTGACCTCCAACTGATAACCTGTACAAAATTAGCCCCCTCGAGAAATAAATATTTCTGTGTCTTTCATCGGCGCGGCGTTGTTTGTTATCAAAACACATTCGCTCTCCAATACATCATGAATGGTGTACACTTTGGTCTCTTAAGTGCTCATGTGTGACCCCTGCTGCCGCTTCTGCCCGCAGATAACCTTTCCTCCTCTTATTAAAATCTAATGCCTCTCGAGAGCAAACGTGACCTTTTGATTATGAGAACATATATTTCATTAACACTGCGCGTGTTTGTCCCTCTCTTCATGTAATTAAAAAATTTTAAGATAAGTAAATACAGTAAATATAGAAAAAAAAATAGGAAAATATTACGAAATATTGAATTGCACTCTCTACAGAAAAGGTTTTTCTTATACAAAAATTTTAAAGATTTTTTAAATGTATCCATTTTTGATGTTTTATTTCATATTTTTTTTTTAATTATATTAATTTTATTATATATTTCAGGAAATTTTCATTAAATGCCATTTTTTTTGCTCTCAGAAGCATTGCCCTTTATTTGGCTGACGTGTTGAGCCAAAATTAATTTAATTTTAATCGCTGATGGCAATTGACAATTTTTGTTCACTTCATTCATTTGGGTGATCAGACGCGTTAATGGAGTTTCCATATACGTGCAGCACGCGTGCTGTCTTTCATTCATTCATTCTCACTCTCGGCCAAATCAGTTAGCGCTGCTCATCCAATAATAATACACAACACACACATGCGTCATTCAAGTGCATTTAAGAGCCGCCACGGCCACATGTACAAACACAATTTGCCTGACACATTCTCATTCTCGCCTGCTTCGCATTATAAAAACTACAACAAAGCGTTCGCCATCAACAAAATATCTTTTGCTATAATCAGAAGTAATATTTCCAACTAAATTTGTCAAACACTCCAGAAGTTTTTTGCGTTTATCTCAGTTTTGCGTTAAAGTTTCACGGCAGAAATATGTATTTCTTGGAAGTATATTTCGATAAGAAAATATGAAATAAACTTGATGATTTAAAAAAGCAACACAATGAATTGCAATAATTATAACAATTTTTTTTATTTGGTAAAGAGAAAATAATATTGCTAAAATAAAAACGAAAAGCGATTGAACTTTTATACACTTGAAATTTTTGTTATTTTTCAACTCAAATTTGAAAAAATTGCGAGAAAATATAAAAATTTGCAGCGTAATTAAAAATTTTCATACCTCAAAGCACGTGTATTGAGAAAATTAAATAAATTTTAACAAGCCTAGACAATTACAATTTTATTCAAAGGTTAAAAAATGAATATTATTACTTAAAAAATTTAAAAAATCTGTTACTAGCATGAAGAAAAAATACTATTGTTTCAAATTTTCAGTTAAATGAATAAACCTAATCTCCGCAGTAACACCTATCACTGCTCTTCACAAAGAAAATAATATTAATTCTTTTCATTTTTTGGAACAATTAAATTTATTGCTTTTTTAAGGATTAATTTCCATCAATTAAACTTTTTTAATTTTAATAACGTCTAATTAAAAATAAATCAACTTCAATTCATCCTAATTTATTGTCTGAAAAATACACACCTGGTTTATTTTCAACCCTTTATTTTGGTTGGATCAAAATCTCAACTGACTGATTGTGAGGTAAAATACCATTGAAAACGGTCGATTGTAGACGCTGGAGCTTAGAAAATTATATATAAATATCAGTCCTCCATTAGAAAATCGTCTCAAGTGCGCGTCTGTCTGGCTTTTGATCTGCGACCCTCGTACAAACAAATCAAAACCGCATCAGAGTAAATTGCATCTAAGTGCTGACGAAGCGTCGCGACGCACACATGTGTTGGTCCGTCTCTTATTTAGCGCAAACTATAACTGTTTTGGATATCTCTGTTTGTTTTTTCACTCTCACTCTCCAAGCTCTCTTTTGTAATTGAACACGTTAAGAGCAGCTTTCGGATCGCCATTAGGGTAAATAAAACATCTCGTGATTTTCGTATGGATTGAGTGACACGTGTTGATAGCTTCGGGATCGAGTTGCACTCTTGCCCGCTCCTTCCAGCCGACGACGGACCACCGCGGACGATTTTTCGGCGACGCTCTTGAATAAACAATCAATCCCGCAACTTCCTCGGGCGCGCGCGCCAGAAAAACTCGAGCTCGAAACCGCGCGACGTGCAGCGCAAACAAATACTCTCTGAAATTTAATGCACCTCCACATTTAACAACGTGTGCTTTTTTATGGATTCCAAAAAGTGTGCGTGCCATATGAAAGAAAGGATTAAAATTTGTTGCAGCTGCAAAACAAAGATTAAATGAAAATTCCTTCTCATGTCCTTTGAATGCAGTTAGAATGTATAAATTTTTTTTAATCATTGCCAAAATAGGGCTATATCAAATTTAAATAAAAAATTATTTAAAATAAAAATACTATTTTATATTCTGATATTTTAATTTACTCACTTAATGAACAAAAATCAACTAAAAACTTATATATCAGCGAAAATCATTTAAAAGTCTATTAAAACCAGGCTTAAACTTTATAAAATGTCTGAAATTTACAAAGTTTTACTTCTCGTATTTGAAAAGAATATCTCAAAATAAGGACAAATTCAATTCTGATAATGTCTGCGGTTCATCCCCCTCCTCTGAACAACAGGATCAAGATACGTAGATATAAATTAACGCATTTTTATTAAGAAATGAACAAATTATACTGATTTAGGTATTTTTTTGGCGACTTATTTTTAAAGGAAAAATTTAAAATTATTCCTTTGGTTAAATTAATGTTTGTAAAGAAAACGTCGCACTTTTTACACTGAATCTCCGTCTTGTTATTGCCAAAAACTGACTAAAAATCCAATTTTTTTAAGCCCTCAAGCGTCATAAGGGGGAAACGAACTATATAAAATCAAAAATATTGAAATCTTGAAAGAAATCTCATTTTATACTTCCCAAACTCTTTTTGATGGAAAATTCTTTTACATTTAAAATCATTATATATCACAATATAATATGCAGTTTTCAAATTCAAATTTATTTTTGTTCCCTCACGATTTTACTTGGCATTTCTCACGATGTTCTTGTATCTGGTGTGCCTTCTCTGTTCTGTTTTTTCTTTGCTGCTTTTCTGCGCAAAATAGCATCCTCTCTCTCTCTCTCTCTCTCTCTCTCTCTCTTTGAACGGACAACGACACCCACTTGTTCTCATAGTGACAAGACGACTTGACCAAAGTCTCTCTATAGTGCGCGTGAGAGTTATGGAAGGACGGACACGATGAGAACTTTAATTCTCTATGCGCACAATTCGCTTCTCTGATATGCGTCTGATGAGTAAAAAACCAAAGCGGTCGACATGAAAGTGGATGATGTTAGTGTGAGGTTTTCAACGAAAGACAACATTAATTTCTTTCTCGACACACTAAAGCCATTTATTTTGAAGTTTGACTTTTGAATGCTCCAAAACGTAATTAATTTAATGTGATTAAATTCTGTTTTATTTATAAAAAAAACTAATTCGTTTAAAAATTCTTGGAAGATTAATCAAATTTTATTATCGCAACGCACGTGATAAGCAGCCCTCTCAAAGCAGATCCTTCAATTTCTTTTGCTTTCCTTTTTTCCATTTCCAATAGGCACGGAAGAGTTTTATTAAGGTCGAAGGTACCCTTATTTAAATAAAAAAAATTCAGTGCTTTCAAGGATGGCGTTTGCATATATATGCAACCTGCGAAACAAACTCTAAAATTCCAGACTAACATTAACTCGCAAACTTTTACAAAAGAGCTCCATTTTTGTTGTTATTATTTTTGATAAAAAAAAATCATTCTATTTTTCTTTGGTGTCAATGATTTTATACCAATTTTGTCACAAAGAAATTTCATGCAAAAAAAAATTATTTTCATTCAAAACTGAAATATGAGTCACAATTCAAGCAATTTTTGGCAAATGTATACAAAAATAAAATGTTTGAAAGAAAAATTCAAATTTTTGCAATTGGCATTGATCATCAGTGATGAGAATTAGATAAATAAGGACTATCCATTTACGTACGTAAGAACATTGGAATTTAATTCTATGAGGTTGGCGCCGGGTGCTGGTGTTGCTGCTGGGCCGCGAAGAGTGTTTTGTTTACATTACAAGTGCTATAATTGCCTGCGTATTAAACAGATTTCCTCATTCGCTTGTTGCTGTTGAGCCGAAAGAGAGAGAGAAAGAAAGAGACCAGAACACGCAGCCAGTGCAGCCCTAAAACCAGCAGCAATTTAAGTGCCACTTGTGTATAGCTCTCGTTGATCCTTGTTGTATCTTATCCCCCGAGGAGCGCATGTTAGTTTTATATTTACGTGTCTGGCGTGGTTTGTCTCAACTTAAGTGTCGATCAGGGAATATATTAAAGGCGCGTTTATAAGAGTTCATAAAACGTGCGCCGCTTGCTACTTTATAACTCTCTGACTCGTTAAATTATCAGAAAAAAGACCAAAATCACATGGATCTGCTAGATATCCAGCAGAACACGTTGCATTTTTACATCGAGGGCAGTGGAAAATTAACATTTAAAACAATAAAATTCAGAAAATTCTATAATTAATTATGTACATATTGATGTATATCCAATAAAATTTGAATTCATTTAATAATAAAATTATGCATGGAACATGAAATTTATTTGATTAAATAGGGCAATTATTAGTAAAAAGTTTTATTTATTTAATGTCTTTAATATTAATTTAATAATAATTTAAATTTTATAACTATCGCATTAATTAATTTTTCAGAACTTTTACTTATTTGTATTTTTATTTATTTATTTTTTTTTAATTTTCGTCTTGCTACTTATAAATTTTTAGTTTTTATATTTACAAATAATTAGTTTAATTAATTTTTTTTTATAGAATTTTGTTTCGTGCTCACCAAATTTATTCCATAATATATTTTATACATTTTGTTTAATTGTAATTTTTATTAAAATTTGCTCCTTTTTTCATAGTCTAGCCGTGTCAATTGTAATTTATTCACTTCCCTTTTCATACTTAATGATCGCGATTAAAAGTGCGATGTAAACTTTCAAGGATCACTTTGTTTGTTGATCCAGCCGGCGCGAGATGGTCGCGGAGTAATTAAAAATTAGTGATCTCCGGTGTTTAATCGCCTCGTTGACTGACGCAGCAACATGTGCTCAAAATCCAAAAGCTGTTTATTTTCCTGCGAATGACATTAAATTCTGGTCGATTAACAGGATTTTTTTATGAAATTATATATATTGACGCCAGAAGGCCGCGTCTGGTAAATGCTGTGGGAGCGGGGAAAACTTCGCACACCCTTATACATGCCATTCGATTTCAATTAGGAAAATTAAACTTGTGTATGGAGACGCGTGTCACCCTCTGCCAAGCAATACCAAATCACAAAATACACACCATTTGTATACTTGCGAGGCCATTTGCTTGTTTTATTTAACACGACACAAAGGCGAGTTGCTGCACTCAATTTTAATTTGCTTTTGTTGAACGGGGGAAGTGAAAAAAAACATACTAGTGGAGGAAATTGACAATATAAAGGAAACTTTAAATTATAGTTAATAACTTTCTAAAATTTGGATGAAATTTGATTGAAAAAGAAAATAAGGTTGAACAGGAATTAAAAAAAATATTAAATGAGCAGGCTAGTGAAATAGTTAAGAGTGTTTCGAATTAAATATTATTTTTTTTATTATATGTTCTCAAAATTATTTATTTATATTTGAATAAAAGCTAATATTTTACGATTTTTACTTGAACATAAAATTTTGATTGTAATTTTAAACAATACTGTTGACATGAATAATTTTACATTATTTCATTTTTAGAGCAATTTATCATACACAAATGCACAAATATTATCTAAATGAAAGGACTTTACTTTTTAGTTATAAATACTTATTTTATTTAAAATATTGTCAAATATCCTTATGATAAATATACAAATCAATACAAATGCAAACAAAAGTCAACACTATTGGTTTTCACTTCCCTCACTGCCCCTTTTTGTGACACCGTTTGGCGTATCAGCGTGTCCTTCCTTTTAACCGAAAAAAGGTGTGTGTGCCGATTTTCACTCTAACTAATACACTTTGCGTCGCCGCGATTAAAGTCGCATTATTCGGGGCGAAAAGCGGCGGCGCCTGGCACCGCCGATGATCCATTAAAGTAATCAGCGCAGCGCCGCTTGAAAAATCATTTACATCGCCGCCCACTCTCCGTGCATATTAGTGGTGTTATTATTCTTAGAATGGGCCGAGCGCACTCTGCGTAATGGTGTATATAGGAGGCGCAGGGTTGAGCGCGTGGGTGGTGCAGCCGACAGAGAGAGAGGCCCGCGAGACGAATTTAGATTTCGTGCCGCTCGATCGCCGCTCGACCGAATTAATTTATTTCGCGCGCGTCGATCCCACAAAAATTCGGCACGCGTCATTTCAAATGTGATCGAGGTAGAGTGTCAATTTGCTAATTAAAAAGGGAGCGAAAGAACTACTTTAAAATATTGAGTGGAAATGCTATAGATTATTTCCTCATTTCTTTGTAAATTTACTGTGTTAGAAGTTTTTATAATATTTAGAAAGAAAAATTAAAAAAAAAATCAGACGGTTTATTTATTTTTCCCTTGCAAACCACATTGCATCAATACGTTTGTGGCACACAAAAAAATACATGCAATATATTTATATTGATCAACTTAATAAAGAATTCATTTTCAAAAATTAGCTGTCTTCACATTTTTAATTGAGACATCGTTTAAAATTTTGATAAATTCACACAAAAATAAATAATAACTGTTTTCTTTTTTAATTGTAAGATTAGTGCAACTATTCAGTGTGTACTTTCATATTTTGTAATTTTATGCTGTAGGATTGAGCAATTTTATATTGTTGTTTATTTGTCCACATTGTTACAAATACATTGTTTACATTCGATTTTTGAAAAACAATTATTTAAGAAAAAGAGATTGTTGGACAAAAAGGCATCACCACTAGCAAAAATTTTGCTAAAACTTCCGAGATCAAAAAGACCCCATCCGCCGCAGTGAGCCTCGGTTGACTAAGTTTTTGTTCTTATCACTTATCACAAATTCTGCCACAGGTAGGCCTTGCAGAGAGTGGGAAACTGTTCCACCGGGCAGGTTTTCAGAGCGTCCGGAAGGGCATTCCAAATTTAATTCAATTCTTTAATCAAACGCGCTGGCCAAACCGAGACAATATTATTATTAAAAGTTGGATTCTTGGTGAAAATCTTGAATTTAATTTTTTTTATTTAGCCGCTATATTTTTTTCTAATTTTTATTGTCCAGATGCATAGAGGAACTTTAATCGAACGCGCTGGTCAAACCGAGACAATATTATTATTAAAAGTTGGATTCTTGGTGAAAATCATGAATTTAATTTTTTACATTTAACCGCCATATACATTTTCATTAATTTTTATTGTTCTGGTGAATTAGAGGACTGTAAAAATGTATCTATAACATTTCTGTTCAATTTTCTTTTTGGTTGTAGATGTTTCTCTGCCATTTTTTGACTTAGCCGATCTTATAATTCAATGAATAATATTAATACTTCATCTGATTATAAAAAATATTAAGTTTCTCTTTTCAAAACACTTAAAAAATGAGACAATTTAATACAAAACTATATAATTGTTGCCACTTTGATTGTTGAAGCAGACGCAGAGCGCGTGGAAAGCGAGCGTCGCCTTCACTGCGGAGACCTGAACGCCGGCGACCCGTCCGTCCAGCTGTCGAACACCCTCAACAAACCACGCAAGAAACGCTCGCGGGCCGCCTTCTCGCACGCTCAGGTCTACGCCCTGGAACGAAGGTTCAACAGCCAAAGATACCTCTCCGGCCCCGAACGGGCCGAACTCGCGCACAACCTCAAACTGACTGAAACACAGGTGATCATAATTTGCCAGATTCATGAAAATTCAAGAAAAGTTGAAAAATTAATTAAGGAATAGGAAAAATAATAATTTCTGGTTATAGTTATTTTAATTAATTTTAATTTTCATAGAAAAAAAATAAGATTTTTAATTAATTCAAAATTTATTTTGCAGCTACGTTTATTCCTACTATATATTAATTGGATCAGTCTATTGAATGTGATTATTCCCTCTTTAAATATTTTTACAATTTTTTTTTAATAGATTTTAATCACTTTTTATAACATTACATAAAGTTTTTTTGCTGCTTATTAAAATAAAATTGACAAAACAAAAAATTTACTACTCATTTTCAGAAATTGTCTTTTTTGATCGAAATCTTATAAAAAATGTATGATTCTTGATGAAATTGTTTCTCCGTTCCTTTATCTGAACATTTTCTTTTTTTTTACTGTTAAACTTTGGCTAATTATAGCAAATTGCAGGTGAAAATCTGGTTCCAAAACCGGCGGTACAAGACCAAACGCAAGCAGATTCTGCACCAGCAAGACCTGATGAGCATGACCGCCTCCACGTCCCCCGGCCCCGCCAAGAAGGTCGCCGTCAAGGTGGTCATGAAGGACGACAGGGTGCTGTACAAAAACGACCTGCCAGCAGCGCGATTTCCGCCCCTGCCGCCCCTCTTCCCTGCAGCGGCCGCCGCCTATTACTATTACTACCAAAACCCGCACCTTTACCCCGGGGGCCATCCCGGAACTGCCTCCAGTGGGGACGGCTCGCCACCTCCGTCTGCGTGTTCCAGATCCATCAGCCCCGTCGAAATTAATTGAAAAGGAAAATCATTGAAAGGAACTGACACAGGAGTGTGGTTTTGATGACAAAAACTGATATATTTTAATGAAAACTTAATTTTAAGTATTATTTGTTGTAAGTCGTCTGATCTCTGTTAACTCTTCTCGACTACTAGAATAATTAACTGCCGATTAACTTAATTGGAAGATGTGTTAAGCAATTATTTTATTTACATTTATTAATTACCTCCAGTATTGCAATATATAATGTCAAATTTAGAAAATAAAACTGAAAACCAACCCAATTGATTTAATTGTAAGTGAAAAGCTCTTGTTTTATTTTATTTCAAATAATATGTATTGTAAACCTGTTTATTTTACTGTGGCGCCCAAAATGACAAGGACTAAATTGATTTTTTTTAATTCAGTCAAAAATACTGCTTCTAGACATTAATATTGGATCACCTAGTTGCAAATTATTGCCTTTCAAACATCTAAAAAATCTTAAAAATAAATTTTACGCTTACAATCTAAATAGCTGCCAAATTTGCAATCACATTGTTTAAAATTTACTTTGAATCTTAACGAAAATGCGACTTTGAACCAAGGAAACAAAATTTTCTCTTGAATATCTTTTAATTGATGCTTAAGTTCAATTATAAAATAATAAACAATAAATAGGAACCATATTGCTTATAATTGGTATTGGTAATGTAACTGTTGCTATTTTGTTTTTAATCTTTTGCTCCAAGTTCCCGGAGAATTTGCTGGTTGGTCTTGCCCTTTGTTTCCGGCAGGAAAAAGAGGATGAAGGCGGCGCCGAGGAAGCAGCAAACGCCAAAGATCCAGAAGGTGGTGTAGTTTTGCACGGCCGCGACCAGATCGGCGTAGAATAGCGTGACGAGGAAGGCCAGCGTCCAGTTAGAAGTGGCGCCCAACGCACTCGCGGGCCCTTTGACCTGCGGCGCGAAAATTTCGGCCGCCACCACCCACACGACGGGGCCGGCGCCGAACGAGAAGAAGATGATGTACAGCACCAACGTAGTCACTGGCAGCCAGTCCTGATCGACAAGGTCCTCCTAAAAACAATCAAACGCGCACAAAAGCATGAGTTTTATTTAAACGAAAATAAAAACTGCCCATCAAAAATATTCAATCAACATTTTTCTAAATTAAGAAAAATAATAACAATTCAACTTTTCTTCTGCTATTGATGAAACAGAAGTGTCTGAATTTAATTAAAGAAATTTATTATATTTTTATCTAAAACTCACACTAATTATTGTTATGATCTGCATAAATAAATCAAATTTCAAGTTTTGAACTCTACTTTTTCTTACTTTGAAAAAGAAGTAAAAGCCAAGGATGATGATGAAAATTCCCATAGCAGTGGAGGAGACGAGCAGCAGCAATTTTCTTCCGAGTCGGTCAACAACGAGAGAGGCAGGAATGGTGGCCGCGACCTGGACAGCACCAATGATAATGGAGTTGATATTGGGGTCGAGGGTCGAGCCTGCGTCCACAAAGATGCTGTTCGCGTAGAAAAGTACGGCGTTGATGCCTGAGAGTTGCTGCATTGCAAACAGGCCAAACAGAAGCAGGATTCCCTTGACTGCGATTCGGTTCCGGAACATTTGAATGAAGGAAATCTGAAATTTTTAATTCATAATTTTTAATAAAAAAAACTGTTATTATTATTTTGATGAATTGTGCAGTTTTTTTTAAAATTATAACTAAATAGTTTAATAAATTAACTATCTCATTCATAAAGTTTAAAATTAAATCAAAAATAGATTGAAGGAAAATAATTACTTTGCCAAATTTAATTAAGGGAACTTTATGGATTGTTATTAGAATAAATTTAAAACATCTTGCCGTATTCTTCTTTGCTTCCTCCACTGCATCTTTCATGTCGTCGAGCTCGTTTTTGATGTCGCATTTAGAGCCGCGGAACCACTGCAGGGCCTTTGCAGCCTCCTCGTCTTTGTTCCTCCGCAGAAGATACTGTGGCGTTTCTGGCATGAAAAAGAAGCAAACGGCGAACACGATCGGCAAAAGTCCACACGCGACTGAAAGCCTATATGATGAATATAAATTGAAAGAATTTGCAAAATTTAAGATCAATCAAAATTCCATTGCTGAAATTTTTGGAATCAATCTAGGTGCAAAGATTAAAACTTCCCTTTTATAAGAAAATTGTGTATATGTACAAAAAAAGACCGAGTTATTAGTTTTCAATTCCGAGAAATAAGCAAAAATTTTGAAAATAACTGCAAATTTTCTTATAAACATTTTCCACATAACTTTTTAATCGTTACAAAAGATCTTATCTAGAATTTAAAAGAAAAAAACTTGCCAAAAAATGGGCGCAAAGGCGCCGATGATGTAGCTGAAGAGAATGCCAATGACGACCATCAGCTGGAAGAAGGAACTGAGGAGACCGCGAATTTTAATGTCCGAGATTTCTGCAATGTACATTGGTGAGGCCACGCAGAAAAGGCCGCCGCAGAAACCAGTGATCAGTCGGCCTGCGATCAACATTCCCACGGCTGCCGGCCAAATAATGAACGCCCAACCTATGGATATTGGGAAAATTTTCAAACGTTTTGACAAAAATGATAATTGTAAAAAAAGCATGAAGTGGCAAGTGGAAAGGAGCTAAAAAAATTAAGCTCAAATGTTGCATTTTTATGCTGCTGAATTCGAATTTTCTTGAATTTTATTTGATTTTCCATTTGAGAGTAATTAGCAGTTAACTAATAGGCATGTTATTTTGTATGTAATTATTTTTATCATACAATTTTATAATGAGCTTAATTATGAACACGAGTAAAATATTTTAATATAGATGAAATAAAATTTGTTTTTAAAACATATAAAAAAGCACACTGGTCATACCAATCACGAACGGGATGGACATGAAGAGCATCGTGTACTTGCGGCCGATCCAGTCGACCAAAAATCCGGCGGGCATGCATGAGAGCGCGGCGCCAAGTGACACCACCGAACTGACCCACGAAAACTCGGCGGGGCTCACTGGGAAATTGTTGTAAACGTCGCCTTCTAATACAGGTGTCTGTGCCGGCGACGACCACCCGAGGACGGCGCCCAGCGACATTGCACCCAACGTTGCTAAGTTTAGTCAGTTTAGTAATAACTCAGTTATGATTATTTAAAAAAATAAACAGTTTTTAAATAATTTTATGATTATTTTTTCTCAATTTATTATTTCGTTAAAAATTCAAATTATAATTTATCGCTTTTATAGTGAAAAGTTTAATTATATTATATTTTTGTAAAATTTTCAATATTTTTCCACAATTTTCGCTCCAGAATGTTTTCAAAATTTGACCCTTTTTGATCTCAGAATTCCTCGTCTAAATTTGAAATTGATACAAAAATTAAAGTCCAACCAGGATCTCAAGTATCTAAACTAATGGGTTTATTTTGGTTTTTTGAAAGCTGTCAAAAAATTAAAAGTTTGACTGTAGAATCCATATTGAAATTGAATTACCTGCTGCCGCTGCAACATACTGCGTCTTAGTACTGCCTGAGCTCATGATTCTTTTCCTATAAAATGAAATGAATAGATTTTTCAATTAGGGTTCAATATACTTATGCAAAAAGAAAAAATAATCAATTTTCCTTTATTTTTGCAATACTTGTAAATTAAAAGTAACCTCCAAACTAATGGTGAGGTTTAAAACATTTTTACTGATGCATTTCCATAAATCAAAACATCCTTTTGTGCTTGATACAACATCATTGTGATTAACTCATTTTTTTATTTAATTGCCCTAAGTAAAAACGAGCAAATAATGCGCTTTGACAAGGCACTTTAAATCCATTGATGTAAGAAAAAATAATGAGAATATAAATGCAAGTTAAATAAAAATCAAATGTTATACTGCTTGTCCTCAATCAATCTTATCTCTTTTTTGAATGCCAACTCCAGCATTTTCAAGAGTTTCTTAAACAAAAATTTTAAGATTAAACCTGAATTCTTAATGAGTACAATTGAGTATACTTTTCTAAGCATTGAAAATTGCTTTATCAAAATAATGTAACATATATTTTTAAATAATAGTAACGTATCATAATTATTTTTTTACTGCGCTTTTATATTTAATCTAAAAAGAAATTTTTAAAATAAAATGTTATATCAAGTTCAATTTATTAGATTTTTTAACAAAGTTATTGTTAATACATTGATGTTTTCTTCAAAGATAATTTTGAGTAATGATATTATTAAGAAACTCACTTGGAAGAGATCAGTAGACTAAATTAACGTTCCTCTTTCGACCGACTGAGAATTCCGTCTATCGTTGGGCTATCGATGATAATTACATTTCATAATCGCTTCTTGATATTCATATCCTATACACAATCACCAATCAACGTTTTATACACTATAAAAGCCGATAAGATAATGCAATGCAAATTTTGACCACTACTATTATAATTTGTAAAACAGAAAATAGAAAAATTTTATTTCATCCGAAACTCCAAATACTCCAATATTGATTCTCCTCTTAAAGTTAAGTGCAGCAAAATCCTTATACTATTTTCTGTGTTCAGTTTCATTTAATTATATAATTCCATCGGTGTCGGTTAATTTTTATTCACTTTTACAGTTTAATTTATTAGCTTGATTTCTGTACATAAATAATAAAGTAATCAAAATATCTTAACTCTCTTAAATTATAGTGATGAAAAATAAACTAGAATCTGCAATCAATCAATTTATTTTGACATTTCCTTTCAATTATAACGAAAGTAAGAATTGCTTAGGATACAAATAGACCAACAAAGACTAGTAGAATTCATCTTGATTCTATTTTTATTGATGCATTAGTTTCAGTATAGATAAAAAACAATAAATAGGAAACATACCAGATTATATAATTGCACAATTGAAAGGGTTATTATTTTTCTTTTCAATCCTTAGCACCAAGTTCGCGGAGGATCTGCTGGTTGGTCTTGCCCTTGGTTTCCGGCAGGAAGAAGAGGATGAAGGCGGCGCCAATGAAACAGCAAACGCCAAAGATCCAGAAGGTGGTGTAGTTCTGCACGGCCGCGACCAGGTCGGCGTAGAAAAGCGTGACGATGAAGCCCAGGGTCCAGCTGAAAGTTGCGCCCAACGCACTTGCGGGTCCTTTGACCTGAGGCGCGAAAATCTCGGCCGCCATGACCCACACGACGGGGCCGGCGCCGAACGAGAAGAAGATGATGTACAGCACCAACGTAGTCACTGGCAACCAACCCTGATCCACGAGATCATCCTGAAAGCATCAAACGCGCACGAATTTTTATTTTTTCAAAATTAAAATAGAAAAGTTTAATTATTCTTTTTCAAATTTATTTGATGCACAAATTAAAAATGACTTATAGTTCAATAAATTTTTCTGCACTTATGTTGATAAAACAGAAAAAATGCCACAATATATCTCGAAATAATTTTTCCTTTATACTAAGATTTATTTCTTGTTCAAAATCTATTTCTAACCAAATTCCAGCTAACTTTTTCCTCAAATTGCATTGATAAAACTCAATTTGATAGAGCTAAAATAATGAATGAATTTTGTTCATCATTGAAAATTTTTCTTCTAAGCAAGGTGTCCGCACGGCACAACAATAAAACACAATTACATTGTTGTTTGAGCCCACTGATTGGGTACAAGTAAATAAATACCCAATAAGAACGTTTGCTAGCAATGCATATTTGCTCTGATGGTTGTGAATAGCGGATCGTATTTCTTAGCTTCTTGAATCATGCAAATTACTGAATTCCATATTAGAGGCGAAGGTGCCCTGGGCAAAAATAATAAACACAACTCTATTCGCAATTAAATTCAACATTTTTTCTCTTCAACTAAATTTGAAAAAAATATAATATATTCATCTGGAAATTTATTTTATTTAGAGTCATAAACCTTACATGCATTAGGTATTAAATTTTGAAAATTACTTTAATATTTCTGTAGTTTACTATTTTTATGTAATTTAATGAGGATTTTATATTATTTTAATATTCCATTTCTATATCGAACTTAGAAGGAAAAGTTTCTTACCTTGAAAAAGAAATAAAAGCCAAGGATGACGATGAAAATTCCCATGGCAGTGGAGGAGATGAGCAACAGCAATTTTCTTCCAAGTCGGTCAACAACGAGAGAGGCGGGAATGGTGGCCGCGACCTGCACGGCACCAATGATAATGGAGTTGATATTGGGATCGAGGGTTGAGCCTGCGTCCAGGAAGATGCTGTTTGCATAGAAAAGTACGGCGTTGATGCCCGAAAGTTGCTGCATTGCGAACAGTCCCAGCAAAAGCAAGATTCCCTTGACGGCAATGCGATTTCGGAACATTTCAAAGAACGAAATCTGAAATTCCAATTATTTTTTTTTATATATTTAAATAAATAACTTCAATATTTTTGAAATCAATTTACTTAAAAATTTATTGTCCCCAGCTCGTTTTTATATAAGATTCAAAATATTGTGTTAATTTCCCCCATTATACGTTCCTAAAACTGCCTATAAATATATATTTTAATATATTAAATTTTGATTAAATTATTTTCATAATCTTATTAAAAAAACAGTTTTGCTTGACAGGAAATTCACTAAAATCTATATTCTCATTTAAAATAAAAATTAATAATTCTTGCCGTGTTCTTCTTAGCTTCCTCCACTGCATCTTTCATGTCATCGAGTTCGTTTTTGATGTCGCATTTGGAGCCGCGGAACCACTGCAGGGCCTTCGCAGCCTCCTCGTCTTTGTTCCTTCGCAGAAGATACTGTGGCGTTTCCGGCATGAAAAAGAAGCAAACGGCGAACACAATCGGCAAAAGTCCACAAGCGACAGAGAGCCTTAAAAAAAAATTAACAATATTGTTAAAGAATGTGAAAACAATAAGAAAATATAAGAGTTTCATGTGATTCTGAAATCTATAGATCTTACAATTAGCGTAACTGATATTTTTAAGAGAAAATTGCTGAAAAGCATGCAAAGATTGCTGTCACTTGGGTAACTCTGTCAATTTTTGTCCAAAAATAATATTAAAAAAAAAAGATGAAATAGAATGCAATTTGAAAATTTATACAAAAGCTAACCAAAAAATGGGCGCGAAGGCGCCAATGATGTAGCTGAAGAGAATACCAATGACGACCATCAGCTGAAAGAATGAACTGAGGAGGCCGCGGATTTTAATGTCCGAGATTTCTGAGATGTACATAGGCGAGGCCACACTGAAGAGGCCACCGCAGAAACCAGTGATCAGTCGGCCTGCGATCAACATTCCCACGGCTGCCGGCCAAATAATGAACGCCCAACCTGAGAAGGGATAACGATCAACTCTTTTGACACAAAAATGACAAAATCTAGATACTGATTTAATGGATTCCATATTTTAATGAATATTAGAGGCGTTAAGTAGCACAGAGAAATAGTTTGATAAAAATCGAGAAAAAATCTGGTTTAAACATGCAATTGTTAACGCTGTAGAAATAAATTTAATTAATATTTTTTAGACTTTGATACAGTAAAATATTTTAACCAAAATTTCACTTCCTTATAAACTTCTTTTGCCCATAGTTAAAGCAGCCTTTCATAACTTAAACAGACTTTCATCTTTTTCAAATTTCAAATGCAATACATTATTATACTGGTGTGCATTTTGCTGATTTTAATGAAGTAATTTTAAACTTTACCTTTGTAAAAAGTATATGCTAAAAACAAATGATTTACCAATCACGAACGGGATGGAGATGAAGAGCATCGTGTACTTGCGGCCGATCCAGTCGACCAAAAAACCGGCAGGCATGCACGAGAGCGCGGCGCCGAGCGTCACCACCGAACTGACCCACGAAAACTCCGCGGGGCTCACTGAAAAGTGGTAAACGTCGCCTGCCACTACAGGAATCTGCGCCGGCGACGACCACCCAAGGACGGAGCCCAGCGACATCGCACCCAACGTTGCTAATTGGGTAAAACTCTATTAATTAAACTTATTTATGATAATTATAATAAAAATAATAAAAAATTGTTTATTTTAAAGATCATGGTTTCCTGATAGACTTTAGTTAAGTGAGCCCAGTGTTTTCTGAGCTGCAATAAATTTTTAGTGATTTTTTTTTACTTTGAAAAATTAAAACAATTTTTTAATTCAACAATCGGACTTGTCATGCAGGCACAGAAAAAAATAAACTGGAAGTGTCAATGAAACTCGACCAGTGCTTATGTCATCTTAGGCCTTAGACATCTATATAAGGTCAGGATGCTGAAAACCCAGGCGTTTTCAGCATCCTGATAATATTAGTTTTACGGAGATGCGCCGTTTTCTACTCACAACGGTTGCGTTCTTTTCAAAGTTCAGAGATATGCTCAATTTTTTCCACCAAAATTTTGATATCGAACATCTTAACCATGACACACACAAAAAGAAAGTTCTCCGAGGATAAAATACCGGTTTTCTGAAGGTCATTTCAAACTCTTTTTAGCACATTACTCTGAATAAATTAAAATTTAATTTTAATTACCTGCTGCCGCAGCGACGTATTGCGTCTTAGTACTGCCGGTGCTCATGATTTTTTCTGGAAATAAAAAAATATTGAATTTTAATTTTCAATGGGAACTAAATATAATTATGCATTACAAAATGAAATCAAGGGTCCATTTTTCCCATTATCATGAACTTATGGGTTCCTTTTTTGAGCAAACAATTTAAACAAAACTTCATTGTTGCATTTGGCGCCCGTTATGATTTTCATAAAAAAAATCGCGATGTTTTCAATGTCAAAGTGATTTTCTTATATATCTTATCAAGTTCATGTAATTAAAAGCTGAACTAATCCGCTTGGACAGTTAATTTTGAGTCCATTAGCGTCAGGAGAATACTGAGAATTCGAAACAAGTTAAAAAAACGTTAATAATGCTTATTGTCCCCAATTTATCTTATCTTCCTTTTCAGAATGCTGAGAACTTCAGCATTTTCATGAGTTTCTCTCAAACAAAAATTTTGAGATTAAACCTGAACCACTTTTCTTAAAGTCAGAAATTGCTTCCATAATTTTAAATAAAGAACTAATTTCAAAACAATTTCTACTAACTATTGCTCTAGAATAAAAGAAAATTTCTTGGGAAAATAAATATGAGAAGGAAAATTACTGAAAATTTTAACACATAAATTTCGTATTAGATTGTTTAATATAAAAAGAATAATTTTTCCAATGAATTAATGGGAAACTTACTTTACAAGAATCAGCAGACTTAATTTGCGTCCTCTTGCTTCTGACTGGGAATTCCTTCTAAAGTTGATCGAATTGGTTTCTCGATCGCTACTTTGATATTCGAATCTTACACAATATCGACACCGTAAAAGCTGATAAGATATGTCATGTAAGCCTCTTTAATACCACTGAATTATAATGTCTTATTTTTATTTCATCCAAATAATTTCTTATATAATATTTAATCATCTTTTGATCATACGGTGGGAAAGTTACAGCAATACTGAGAGTCTAATTAATCTGGCAAAATGTATGTGAACATTAATTATTAGGTGGAAAATAATGCAGAACCGTCACTACGGTCTACATTATCTTTGGGCGCAGATTAACTCTTGAGATAAAGAAAAGGACCATTATGTATGATTCTCCAAAAGAGAATGGAAAGGCTAGGAAAACAAACTCTACTTTTTTTTAGATAAAAAAGGCTTCATTGTTATAAAAGTAGTGGAGCTACTTACATAACACGTGACACTTCACAAGAATTTGAAAAGTCATCTCTCCACAAGATTGTGATTAGAGGCTTGCACATTATAATAAAATAAATATATAGATGGGCTCAAATAAGCTCCATTAATTTTCTGTTTTAGTTCAGTCTAAGAAATCAATTCTGACGTTGGATATTTACTAATTAAATCATTCTGAAGCTATAATTGAGATGTTAAAAATTTGATGTTTAAAGACAATTTTATTGAGCATCGGCTATAGTGAAAAAAAACTGACGTAAAGCAAAAATTAAATCTAAATCTTGAAAAAAAATTAAAATGGTTAAATTTACATAAATTGGGCTCTTTTAGTTTTTTTAATCAAATCATTAATGAATTTTCTTTTTTGAGAATTTAAACCCTAAGGAAACCACTTTTTTTTGTTAACTTTTCACCTGAATAAATCCTTTTTACCACATCCTGATTCAGATATTTTATCATTTTTTCTTTTGTAAAAGTTTTTGGATACAAATAAGAAACACAAATTTTTGAAAGATAAAAGATAATTTATATAAATTATGTTATGTGATGTGATAATGTGATATACTTTCTTAACGCAGGTCACTGTAGGATGACGGCGCAAAAGTACGGGCCCCTGCTAGTTCCAACTTATACAACTGGCACGGCATACCCGTTGAGCGGGTGGCGTTTTCTTGCTTAGTTAGCATCCAAATTCCAAGTACATAGGTTTAATTGGGTTTAATCAAATAAATAGTTCCCTGGTGACTGATATCAGGATAAACAGCGATATTCTGCATAATTATTAACGATTATTTAAAATTTTTGAGTGACAATACCTGTTTTGAATTAAAAGAAAAATTAGGAAGCTATTTCAGACAAGGCCGTATTATTGAATTTCCAGACGTCCCATTCAAAATCCCGCTTCCCGCGCCTTCTTTTAAAGTGTAGCAACAAAAATATTCACGCCACGCAACTCCCTTTTGCTTGGCTCAGCCAATTATCCACCAAGTCCATGCTTGTTGCACCAAACGGCAGGTAGTGGCGCTAGCGTCGCCAGCCAATGAAAGCCGTTTACTCCGTGTCTCCTTTCCGTACACTCCATATGCAACAATCGCTACGCCTGCGCCATCGCTCGTTGATTTTGGCGGTTGAAAAACTTAAAAAGCCAGCGTCGTTTTAGGAGGGCCGTTAGAAAATGTGCTGAGCTCCGAATTTCCTTCGATTTTTCGTCGTCGAATCGTCGTGGCAGCCTCGCCGATCACCCGCGTTTCGGTCATCAAGGCCACGAAACCCAAGTGCGTCGAAGTTTAGTGCAAGTTCGTGAGAAATTTTCAGATTTGTCTTGTTTACAAACAGCGGTGAGTTTGATTCTCGGGAGGGACAGCATGGGCCGAAAATTTTCTAATTTACCCCTCGATCCTTAATTATGTTTCATTACAAGTTATTTTGACTGAAAGTTGCTTTACTTTTGCTCGCAGAATATGCAGACCGTTATGGGGCCGTACGGGACGTTGGCTATCGTCAAGAAAAAGTCGACCTACAAGGTCCCACTGAACAACAAAGTGACATGGATCGGCAGTGACTCGAGCAACTGCGACATTCGCATCCACAAAGCAGATGTCATGCCGAAACACTGCGGCATTCAATTCAACGAGGGCAAAGGAAACAAGGTTCTTAATTAAAATAAAATAATTATTTTCCTTGTCATAATTACATAATCAAAATTTCAGTTTACTCTCGAGTGCATTGGAGAAACCATTCTCAATGGGCAAAGAGTCAGTGGAAGCGTTGCCCTGAGTGACAACGCCAACATCCGAATTATGGGCAAGGAGCTGATCTGGAGTGCACCCATTGATGCGCCAGCCGCTCCGCCGACGCCTCAGCCCCGCAAGAGCATGCCGGCAGCCAAGAAGTCTCCGGCCAAAAAGTTGGTCAAACCGGTCAAGAGGCTGAGCATGCCCCCGGCCACAAACAAGGCCGAGAAGAAGGCAAGAAAAAGCATGCCTAACAGTGTTTCTTCTTTGGTGACCGCAAAGAGGATTTTGGGAGGAGCGTCCGTCAGGTTCGGAACTCCTAAGAGGACTCCTGCTGTACCTAAAACGCCCAAAACTGCAAGGTCTGCAGTGAAAAGGGCAGCAGCTGTTGATGATAGTGCTTCAACTCCCAAGAGAGCTGTTGTAAGTCTCATCTTGCAAATAATCAATTAATCTAATTCGACCGCACTTGTTGCTTAAACTTTTAAACCAATTATAAATTCTTAAATATTTTTTTATTTCTAAAATATATACAGAAAAATCACAGTAAAATGATAAAATTCCTGAAGTAAATTATTACAAATTTAAAATAATTTTAATTTATGAAATACTATTCAAATTTACTTGCATCATTTTAAAAAAAAGTTTCGTTTTACTTCGTTTCTATTTCAACACAAAAGATAAATAACTTAAATAATTTTCTATATTTTTTCTCTTTTCCAGGAAACTCCTAAAGCCACACCTAAGAAGACTCCCAGAACTGCCACAAAAGTTGTGCCAAAATCCCCATTGTTGTCTCCAAAAACTCTGGTGTCTCCTGGGAAGAAGGTTTCCTCAAAGACGCCAAGGACTGCAAAGACCCCTGCTAAAGTCTTGACAAGCCCAAAATCTACCTCTGCTGAGACACCGAAAGCTACACCAGCAAAAACTCCTAAGGCCACACCGGCCAAAACTTCAAAAGCCACACCAGCCAAAACTCCAAAAGCCACACCAGCCAAAACTCCCAAGGTCAGTCCTGCCAAAACTGTGGAGGCCAAAGCCAAATCGCCTCCTTCAAAGATCCCGAAGCTCGCAGCTGGAAAAGTTACCAAGCCGGCAACAGTTAAGACTCCGAAGGCAAAATCAAGCCCTGCCAAGTCACCAGCCAAGACATCTCCTTTGAAAACCCCATCTCCGAAAAAACTGGCCAAGGCCTCACCTGACAAGAAGAAGTCGCCGTTGAAAACTCCATCTCCACAGAAGGCAGTGAAATCCACCCCAGCTCAGCGGGCTGTCTCGACTCAAAAGTCTCCTGCAAAGACTCCGGCCTTCCAATACGCAGAACCCATTCCAGTTTCAACTCGGAAGGCTCTTCTTATGAGTGTCAGTATTTCATTTCTATTTTTCAATTCGAATTATGATTTTCGAATTCAAATTTTGTCTCATTTCCAAAACATATTTCTTTTTGTTCTTTAGTCCTCAAAGGAAGCAACCACATTTGAATTTGGAAGTCCTCTGCCAAAGAGCACAGGCAATAAAGCTGCTACCCCTGCAAAGACCCCAGCTAAGAAGATTTCTCCGCTGAAAGTCATTAAAGACACTCCGGAAGTGGTTCGTGTTTTAATTTTTATAAACATTGAACATCTATAAAATTTAAATTATTTCTCAGGTGGTTTCATCTCCCTCTCCCAAGAAGGTGACAGCTGCTTCAAAGAGGACCGCCACACCAATTCGAGTGAGGACTCCGAGTGTGCGGAAATTTAACACACCGACTCCCAAAAAGACTCCTGCTGTTGCCAAGCTGTCGTCTCCCTTGAAAAAGGTGCTCACGCCTGTTGCTGAAAACATCCCAACGCCGGAGAAAGTTGACTCTCCCAAAAAATCACCCAAGAAGGCAGCCGTGACGCCGTCTCCCAAGAAACAGACTCCAAAATCCACCCCTTCAACTGGAGCCAGAGCTGCCAGGGCGCGTGCTACTCCATCTGGTACACCTTTCAAGACTCCCTCTGCTAAGGTAATTTTGTAATTTATTCCTGACAATCAATATTAGTTTTTTATTTATATAAAATCCAAGAATATAATAGGTTTTAATTAATATAATTTCTAGTAAATTTTCAAAATTTGAAAGATTGAATTATTTTACAATTTTAAGATAAGCTTATATAATAGTTATTTATGATGGTTTGTCTTATCAATTATTGGAGTGTAAAAACAATGATAAGTAATAACCAACGTAGCATCAGATACCCTCCAATTCAAACTAAAAATGGCATCTTCAATTCATACTCTAGTGGTTATGCTGGGAACACACTACTGATCAAATAAATTTCTCTCGCTCCATTTTTCATAATATGTAATTCTATATTGACTCTAATTTATGTATAATTTTAATGTGTGTAGCAATGCTTGCATTTATTTTGATTAAATTATCATTAATTAACTCCTACTTAAACTTAATTATTATGTTAACTCCCTGAACTGAAAATTATTTATTTATTTCTATAATCTTATAAAGATTTCCAATTTTTCCACCTTATCTCCATGTTTAAGTCTTGATTGTTGTATTTTGTTTTCAGGGAACGAAGGCAACCTCTTTCTATGAAACGCCTGTGTCGACTCCACTCAACGCAACCCGCTCGGCCAAGAAAGGCATCAATGACTCGGTGCTAAATGCGTCGACCACTGCCACAATTGCCTCCCTTCCTGATCTCAGCACAAGCCTCACCCCCAACAACAAACGCAAGTCGACCTCGGCGACCGGCCTCGACTTAGTGCAGAGCATTCCAACTCCTGACTTGCGAGATGTGCGCAACCTGTTTATGGAGCAGAACGAGCCGTCTACTCCGAACATGGCCGGTCTGCGAAACCTCTTCAGGGAGAAGAAGTCGGGCAGGAGCCCGCAGCTCGTCGGCATAAGGGAAATGTTCTCTGACGTTGGCACAAAACCAGGCAGTCCTCAATTGGTTGGGATGCGCGAAATGTTCTCAACCCCGAAGACCAACAAGGCATCGCCTAAGCTTGCAGGCGTCAGGGAGATGTTCCGAGTGACCCGTGGGGGACAGTCAACTCCCAAATTGACAGGCATTAGAGAAATGTTCACTGCCTCTACAAGCACCACCAGTCCAAAGGTTGTTAACTTGAAGAAAATGTTCAACAACTTGAAAGCAGCCAATTCTCCCAGACTCAGTGGAGTCCCCGACCTCTTCAATGTTTCAACTGAGGAGATCATTGAGCAGATTATTTCTCCGACAACCCCGGCAAGGAAAGCAAAGGGAACCCCCAGAGTCACCAAGGCCAAGGGGACGCCGAGGGCAGCTCTGACCAAGAAGGCCACCCCCAAACCTGCAACCCCCAAGGTTGCCACCCCCAAAACAGTGACACCCAAAGCTGTTACTCCAAAGGTGGCAACTCCCAAACCAGTGACTCCAAAAACTGCAACACCAAAGGTGAAAACACCCAAAGCTGCTACCCCAAAATCAGTGGCTCCAAAAACTGTCACCCCTAAAGCAGCAACTCCCAAAGCTGCGACACCGAAGGTCAAAACACCTAAAGCTGCGACTCCTAAGGCTGCTACTCCAAAATCAGTGGCTCCGAAATCTGTCACCCCTAAAGTAGCAACTCCTAAGGCTGCAACTCCCAAACCAGTGACACCCAAAGCTGCCACCCCCAGGGTCAGGACACCCAAAGCTGCCATCCCTAAGGTAGCAACTCCCAAGCCAGTGACCCCTAAAGTTGCAACACCCAAGGCCTCCACTACTCCAGCTAGGAAGTCTGCCAGTCCTAAAAAGGTTGTCACCCCCAAAGGCAAGACTCCTAGGGCTAAACCCAAGGCCACCCCTGCGGCAAAGGAAGCAGTTGTGGAGCCAACTCCGGAGAGAGCCACTCGTGCCAGAAGGACGCCTGCTCTGAAGAAGGTGTCACCTGTAAAGAAGGAAGCAGTCACTCCGAAACCAGCCAAGGTTGAGTCGCCCAAGAAGACTCCGGCCAAATCGAGGAAAACACCAGCCAAGACGCCGCAGAAGATCGCTTCACCCAAGACAACGTCTCCAATTAAAATGGCCGCCCTTATGGCCATTGCCTCTCCTGCAAAGTCCCCGGAGAAATCTCCACTCAAGAGGAAGAGTGAGGCTCCAGTGGAGGTTCCAGCCAAGAAGGCAAAAACTCCCAAGGCTGTCAAGAAGGTTGTCATCAAATCGCCTGAAAAAACTCCTGTCAAACCAAAGGGACGCTCGAGAAAGAAGGCCGAGAGCCCTGAGAAAGCCCAGAGCCCAAAGAAAACGAGAGGCAAAGGCAAAGCACCAGCTGAACCTGAAGTACAAAAGGTTGAAGAACCAAAAGCTGTGACTCCAAAGAAACCAGCCAAAGGACGTGGATCCAAGAAGGTGGCCGTCGAAGAGCCTAAAGTGGAAACCCCTAAGAAAACTACTCGTGGGCGAGGAGCTAAGAAGGACGAGTCTTCAAAGAAGTCTCCCAAGGCCACTAGAGGAAAGAAGGTGGTAGTAGAGGAGGAAGTTGCAGAGCCTACTCCGAAGAAACCTGCAAGAGGCCGGAAGGTTGCTGAGCCGGTGCCTGATGTGGTGTCTGAGGAAAAGAAAGGCCGTGGAAGGAAGAAGGTTGAAGAACCCGAGGCCACCCCTCAACAGGAACCCAAGAGAGGGCGCGGTAAGAGAGTGGCTGAAGAGCCTGAGGCCACTCCACAGGAGGAGCCCAAGAAGGGGCGCGGAAAGAGAGCTGCTGAAACCCCGGCTAAGGTGGAAGAACCTGCGGCACCTGCGCCCAAGAAGGGTAGAGGGAAGAAGGCTGCCGAGCCAGAATCGGAACCTGCACTCAAGAAAGCCAAGGCTGCGGCCAAAGTTGAGGAGAAACCTGCCTCCCCTGCTAAGCGAGGGCGTGCAAAGGCCAAGGCGGCCAGCCCCAAGAAATCACCAGCAGTGTCGCCGAGGAAAACAAGGTCCAGGAAATGAGAGGTTGATGAAAAATGTACATACAGAGGCTCTATTAGTGGATTAATTCAAAGATGTTGCAACAACAAAGTGAATTGGGAAATTGCTCCCATTGTTAATTGCTAAGTTCAGTACTAACACTTGCGGATGAATTGTTAGGTAAAACTATTTAGTATTGTGAGTGTGTTTAATAAATAAGCAATACATAATCACAATAGGATTTTAAAATAAGCGTTTTGGAGCATATTTTTGTATTTTCAGATTAAATTTTAAACTGTCTTGGACTTTTGAAAATACTATACATTCTTAAAAATTGTATTTATTTGAAACATAATAAAAAAATTTAAAATGATAAAGAGCTTCACATTACTTGACACACCATGATAATATTAGTTTTAATTAATTCCATATCATCACTTGATACTCTAATTCATAATTTAAAAGCTGATGCAGTCTTCAATTCCAATTTAATAACTGGCCTTCTCCAAATCATGAAGTTGCTTTCCAAGTTTTTCTTCTTTAACTCTTCTAGTGTGGCTTATCTAAAGTGAAACAAATTAAATACAAGTTTATATAAAATAATTATGCAGTTAATACTGTTCTTGAGTTGACATAGTCATTCAGGAAAGACTCAGTGTCCATTTCTCCTTCCAAAAACTGCTCAGCCAGTTTATCACTTTGTTGGTCACATTCGACAGATGATGCATGAAGACTTTCCTAGAATTAAATATTTTAAATTTCTTTTCAAAACTGAATTTGAAGCCACGCTACTTTGATAGCTGAAGGCATGAATTTGTTGCTAAGCTGCTGATAACTGATGCTCATATCCTCGTACTGATTATTCAGCTTTTGCACCTTCTCGACTTTTTCTTGTATAATGTCCTTCAACTCTGCTAACCTGGCCTCTTGCTCTAATGTTTCCTCTTAAAATGTTAAATAAGTTTTTCGTCATTTATCCAATGAGAAATTTATATTTCAACTCATACTTGCAAGCTGCTCGTTTTCCAAAATGATTCTGTCAATCTCGTCCTCCAGAATTTTAATCGGAGGAAGCTGCTCAAGAAATTCATCACACTGGTCCTCACTTTCCTTGAGGGCCTGCAGTTGGGCAACACTGAGGGCAGCAAGTGCCGACCGCAACATGCTCTGCTCATTGACGGCCAGGTTGAGATCAGGAACAGAGGTGTTGGGCGCTGATGGAGGTGACATTGGGTGTTTAACCGGAGTTCCAGTTTGCTGTTGCCTCTTGGCCAGTTCCCTCACAATGGCATGCACCACTCGACCAAGATCCGAATGTTCTGTGAACTAAATTGAAAATAAAAAATACTGAATATCTTTCTTTAGATATATAATTTTATACACTTAGCAATCCTGGTGCTTTTGAAACTTCTCCAGTCTTTTCGTCGACCCATGGATGCGAAATTGTTGGGACTATTGTGATGCAGGGTTTGCTCTCAGGGAAATTTGGAGGCAGCTTTATGATGAGGGAGAAGTCACCAGCCAAAGGTTCGACCTGATACTCTTCTCCTGGAACCTTTTCGTAAACACTGAAAATTGGATTAAAGTATATACATAATTGTATAATTTCATTTCACAGAAATGATCATGAAGGTTTATAATCTCACTTTTCATTAAATACTTTCAACGTGTTGATTTGCTTGTTTCGTTTATCGCTGTGGTTGTAACTTTTGGAAAACATTTCAAGTTATTGCAGTCGATTATTGACGATTAATAAAGTAAAATCAGTAGGCTAAACGAATTAAATTAACTAATTTACTTTACTTTACTTCTATTTTCTATTTATTATGCGTCAGAAAGGGGGCGAAACGGGTCTAATAGGATGTTTCGGTTTTTCCACGACAAAAGGTGTACAACCGGTTTTAATTTCTAAATAAAATTTCTATCGTCATATACTATGCTCAATTAAATTCAATTTCATCTAATAACGTTTTATTTATGATACTTACAGGATAAATTTCACAAATTCTCGCACAATTACAATAATAAAGATAACAAAATATGAAACGACGTGAGTCAAGTAAACCGGTATGTAATTGAAAAAAAACTGATCAACTTGTTTTGATTTGTTCAAAAATCAAATTCCTTCATTTCCACGAGTGTGTGGCGCGACCCATGTTAGTAAATAAATCATCAATTTCCGTCTCTAGGCAAAACGATTCCTTGCAGGAGTGAGTTTGCTCCCCTGCATACTGCAAATGGACCCTAATTAAATTAAATCTAAGCTCGTTTGAAACCTGACATAACAAATCATCCCCCATCAAGTCACAACCATGGGCATGGGTTCGTTTTGCTCTTGCTGGAATATGCATCCTAGGTAGAAATTTTCGAAACTTTCATTGCATAATTTATAAATCTTTAGGAAAACCTCGTGTATTTTACTGATATGAATCTTGATTGCAGAACCATTTCTTTGCTTCTCGTCGGCTTGGACAATGCTGGAAAAACAACAGCCATAAAAGGACTGGCTGGTGGTATGTATTAAATATTTTTACTTGAAATTTAAAATTCAACTTTTAAGGGAATCAGTCCTTTTGAAATTTATGAAATTTAAAATGTTTAAAATTACAAACTTTAATCTTGATAAGCCTCAGCCTGTCATCGTCTGCAGTTCATCTGCATATATAAATGAAAAAAAACTGAATACAAGTTATAATTTACAGAGCCCACCGATCACACAGTGCCAACGATTGGTTTCTCTTGCACTGTAATTCAAGCAAAAAGAAGCCAAGTAAAAGTTTACGATCTAGGAGGTTTACCAAACATTCGAGGAATCTGGGACAAATACTTTGCAGACGTAAGATGAATACAAATTTTGAATTTTTAAATTTTATGGATTAACAGCTTTTTAAAAGAATTTTAATGTGTCATGTAATGTCTAAACTTAATTCTTGTTGTGGAGCGCTTGGTCATGCATGTTTGGTTGGCTTACGGTTACAGGTGCATGGGGTTATTTATGTGGTGGATGCTAGTCAGATTGATCGCCTCGAGGAAAGCAAAGCTGAACTCGAAAAACTGATCTCGCATGAGAAAATTAAAGGAAAACCTGTGTTGCTGTAAGAACCTGCTCGTTTCCTTCACAATTTAAATTAGAAAATTGTACTAAAAATTAAAAATTTTAGACTGGCTAACAAGCAAGATTTGCCTGGAGCTTTGGACGAACTCGACCTGGTTGACCGACTCAACCTGGAATATCTTGTCAACGCCTACAAGTGTCCGACCACGGTAGAAACCTGTGCAGCCATCCTGAGTCCGGACCCAGCTGTGCAGAGCGGATTCAAGTAATTTTAATAATTCTTGAAAAAAAAAATATTAATTATTTGCTTAGCTGGTTGGTTGATGCGATCATCAAAGATTTCACTGTCCTGGACTCAAGGGTCAGTGCTGACGTGGCGGCCCAGCAGGCTGAGCAGGCAAGACTGAGGTTGGAGAGGCAAGAGAGGGTGGAGAAGCTGAGGAGAGAACGTGGGGCTGCAGAAGAAGATACTGCCGAAGACAAAGGGTTTGACGTCAGTCCATTCCGTCCCATTGAAGACATAGTGGTGATTACTTTGGATAGTTTGACCAAGCCCGGTGGCAGTGGTTAGAATGCTTGCATTCTAATCAGTGGGTTCCTTGGCCGTCATGGGATCAATGCTCAGCCTGGGGCTGTTTGTGGAAACAAATACATAGCCTCTGGTATGCGAATCATTGATAACATTTCGGCTGACACGTCGGGAATTTGGGAGGTATGGCGCAAGCTGTACCGACTCGCACTCGGAGGTTTGCCACGTTTCCTCCGAGCCACAAGCTGGAAGAACTCAGCTTGTGTGGCGAATGCCTGCGTTTCATTACAAGTCCTTCGTGGCAAGGCCAGGGCAAGGGGCAAGGTCTCAAGGGGGGTGGGGGGCCCATGCGAGCACCACCAAATCTGCTAGAAAGCCCCCGAACAAGGGTCAGGTTGGTTGGGAAGCACAAATGTGCTAAGGGTGCTCGACTTCGGCAAGAGACCGACCCAAGCCTAATAAGCTCACGGGTGCCATAAGCAAAAAAAAAAAAAAAAAGTTTGGATATATTTTTAAGAAATATTTAAAGTAATGTAATGAATATTATTAAAAAAAAAAACAATAGTTTCATGATTTTTATAATTAATTATTTATTGACTTTCAAATTGTCAAAAAAATCTTCTGGAGGGAACCCAATTCGGGATTCTTTCTAATTATTAAAAATAATTTCTGCAGTCCGACATCAATGGGGGACCAAAAATGATTTTGGTTCAGCAATCGCCTCCTCCGTCAGGCACCCCAAAGAAGGAAGAGCAGCCCCTCATCACAAGTACAAATCCAGAAGTTGAAAGTACATTAGAAAAACTAATATTTTTTATTTTACCAAAGATATTAAATTATGGTTAATTTTTCAGTTCCTGCTGTTGAGGAGACAAAGAAGAGGAGCTTCCTTCCCCTGCGCAGTAACAAAACTGCCCCTGCTGCTGAAGGAAGCCCCGTTCGGAAGCAGACGACCTCGCTTCCACCTATCAAACAAAAGTCCCCCGTTCCTGGTGAACCTTCAGTGCCCTGGATCAAACCAGTTCTCTCCGCCAATGGAGAACGCAATGGAAGTGCAGGAAGAGGTTAGACCCTGTACTTTATTATTTATTTTGAATTATTTGTAGTTAGAGCTTTATTGAGTAGTAGTAGAAAATGTCCTAAAGGTGGTGATGGTGATTAACTTGGGGTCTGTATTTTACTTAGACAATGCATGGGACTTGGATCAGTCGCTGGACGTGATTCAACTGGCTGACGTGAAAAATGGAACATCAAAACACAAAGTCACAGAACTGCATAGACCAAAGTTTCATAATGGTCATTAAAAGTAATGACACAAAATTTTATACTTATTTTAATTTTTTAAACTTTTCATTTAATTCCTTTTACTATATGCGATAAATAATTTGATTTAAATAAAATCTATCACTTACAAGGAATATACTTGCAATTTATTTTTGTACAGAAGTGATAAGGTAAAAATATCACAGAATAAGCAGATTATAAAGTTTAAATATATAATTAAATAAGCTCTTATACTCTATAATATTAAAGAGTTGTGAGTATTTAGTTATTTACATTTTAAACAATCTCTGTCCAGCTTTCACATATGAAAATCTCGGTGTATACCTTGTATGAATAAACATGTATAAAAACGTCTTATTTCTTAATTGCATGTCTCCATTTCATAGTGTAGCCGTCTCTTGGGTTTCATTTGCCAAGACCCTGTATGGGCCGGAGGAGACTGGCTCGTCAGCGCTTGTGGAGATGCTGAACGCTGATATGAATACATTGATAATTGTAACTAAGAATATGCCAATCATGGTGAAGTTGTTGATTCGATTGGCGCGGTGCATGTGGTGTTCCTTCTTGATGTTGTATTGACTGTTGAGAATCAATCCGATACCAACAGCAACCTGAAAGCAATTCATTTTTTCCATTTGACAAAAACTTAGAAAGACCCTCTCTAGTAAATTTGTTAAATTTATTCCTGAATGTAAAAGTGAAAAACTTTGAGCCAAATTTCGTTATTTAACATTCAGGACTAAATTTCCAAATTCATTTGGCGGGAAAATAAAGTGAACCTAAAATTTTTGAGAAAATTTTAACAATTAAAGTTCGCATTGAAACAAGTTATTGAGTAATTTAAGTCGGAAGATACTTTTTTATAAAATAAACGTTGACGTTCCATTCTAGTGCGCAACACTTATCGATAAATTTAAAAGCTGACTGGTTTTTGCAACTAATGGACTTTAGCGAAAGATGGAGCCTCGGTGAAGAAACCGGCTCGGTGACCTTTCTTTATTTTTAATTTGGGAGGAAACAAACTTGAAATGATGCCGTCGGAATCAAAATAACTGCTCGTCTCAAGCAAAATATTTGCACCTGCAGAAAAAGGCTGCTCGCAATGAGCACCACGCTGGGGTAGTAGTAGGGGTGGTTTCTCCCCATGTCCAGCACGTATCTCAACTGGTTGGCGTTGGCCGACAGCAGGGCGAGGTCCATCATACCCTGAGCCAGGGTCTTTTTGTGCGAATACACATTTACGTCCACCCTTCGGTTTACCGTCTGAAAAGAATAAAATATAAGAATAATTCAATATTAAAAAAAGTAAAAATTTACCGTTGCGCCGGGGGTTAATTCTGGGATAAGCGCCGGCGACAGGTCTTCCCCTTCCGTCAGGTCCTTCTCGTCCTCTGCGGACCTGAGAGGAGTGCCCTCCTCGGCCGTGAAGACGGTCTCGACCCTGACCTCCTCTTCAACGTTGCGGTCTTGGTCGTTGGGTTGCGCATTGTGCAGGTCGAAGGCCGGTCTGGACAGCATCGCGCCGCGCATTTCGCACTCAGACTGACGAGAGGATCGCGCCTTTAGCGTGGCTTCGCAGACTGGCAGTGCCAAATTAGGCAACCGGCGGTTGCCAACTTGACCAACTTTATAATCGGAGTCGGAAATTGCGCGCGGCACGGAAAAGAGTTAAATCGATCTAAATGCAGAGCGGACGATGATTTCCTCATTTTTGTTTTGAAGTCAGATTACGAAATTGCGCTAGACTCATGAAGAAATTTTTATTGTATCTTTTTTATAATTTGTTACAAAATAAAATTCTGTCACTGAAACAATCAATTACTATGATATAAAATTATACAAGTCTATAATATTCCTATAATTCTATAAAAAAATCTTTTTATTAAGAACTTTTTTTGTGAAATTTTGAGAATATTTTAGAACAGTTTTAAAATAATTGTAGGAGAATATTAAATTAAATAGTTTGAATATTGTAAAATGTAATTAAAAATTAAACATTTTGAACATTCGCACAGTTATGATGTTTCTTACATAAAAAAGAACTATTATTGTCTTCTTTGAAACTGGACAACGTGTGAATTTTTTAATTAAAATTCAACCCCAAACTGCTGTGTTTCTTTGTGAACAGGAAGACTTTAAATCAGTCTGTAAATGAATATTGTAAAAAAGAAAGTATTTTTTTTTTCATAAAATATTCAAGGCAGTTGAATTGAGGTGTGACAATTCAATTAATTTTAGTTAAAAACAACACGTCATTTTTGTTTTACCTGCTCAAAAGTTAAAATGAGTCTCTGTGGGTGTAAAATTTCTACACGCCATTATTATTAAAAGAGTCAATTTCATGTCACTTGGCAGTAATTCAATTAATTTGCCGATGTAAACTTTTCCCATTATATGCAAATCGACATGGGTGGTAAATCGCAGCAAAGCGTGCAGTCTCATTTAGGGCTCTGGCTGAAATCGACACCGCGCGCAATTAGAATATTAGCAGATCGCACACAATGCCAACCCCTTTTTTCCTTGAGTCTCCAGCGTGTAAAGCAATTTATTTTGTTCGTGGAAACGGGCAGAAAATGCAGGGATCTGTAATTAATTACGAGATGTGAAGGCTGTTTTTGCTCGCATAAATCTCGGTGCCATTACATGCCAACCGCGCGTGCATTCCCCGGACGGTGTCATTTGCCAGGCATTTTCCGCGACTGCTTTTCTCTCCATATTGACAGCAGAAAATGGTACGTTTTGTGCTATTGCGAGGTAAAGAAGTGCTCTGCTTGTTATTTGCGTGACTGCCGGGTGAATCACGTCGCCCTGCACTCTCAGAAAAAGGGCAGTGTAGAAAATTTAAGTTTAAAATTTTGAATAATATGATTAGTATTTTGAAGAATAAACGCTGGTTAAAGATGCTATACAAGTAATTCGCCGATTTCCTAATACTATGAAAAATTCATGAAATCTGATCGCAGTGATTAGTTATTGGGTTTTTATTTGTCCACATTGTTTTAACCTGAGTTTGCAAGACTTCAGGTTTCATTAATTTTTTCAGATTGCTAGATTGTTTTATTTTGATGTTTAAAAAAATATTATCAAAATTTATTATTTTATTTATTTATTTAAATTTGTTTCGTCAGTTGTGAGATTTTTAGGGTTGTGTTACGCTGGTTGCATAGTTTACAAATCTTATTGTTAGAGGAAACATTGAACTGCTTATTTTTTTCTAGTAAAAAAACAAGATGGAATAGTAACTTTTCCTGTAAATAAATCCCAGGCGTATGAAAAGAAAATTAAAAAATTTTGCAGAATAGCTCAATTTTTCTTGTATGTTTAATAAAATAAAAAATTATTCCAAATCACCAAGCTTTTTCCACTGCCCCGAGTAAGTTCAATATAATTAAAAGTGCCTCAGACGCGCGCATTCTTCCAATAACATTTATTTTCCTCTTCTCATCAGGCACATTTTTATGCAAGCAAGTTTTTTAAATTGAACTATAGAGCTATTTAATGTTTGCAAATATCGCCGACGTCTCAAAGGAACAAGCAAAAAAAAAGAAGAAGAAAAACATTATTTAGATCGTTTGTCAATCAAAGATGTTCGCCCTTGCTTGATGTTTTTGCGTCACAATATAATCCTTGGATTAACACGAACCGTGAAACGAGAATAATTATGAACAATTGAAGCAAAAACCGTTTGCTTTTGCATAAATTATCCACACGCCTTGGAATTTATAGTTCTTAATGATATATTGTCTGTTCACTCTCTTTTCTCTTTTTAATTCGTTTCTTTCTCTTCCTCGAGCAGTAAAATAATTGAGATATGTTTTAATGGCGATTCGATTTCAAAACAATTAATCTTGGTTAGTGATTAAGACCTCTCACGTTGCATGCAAATCCACTCTGGCATGAATGTGTCAGTGCGAAAGCGCAACTGCAATTCAAACGGTGAGTCGAGTTGATTTAAAAATCCATAATTATTATTGCAAAAAGCTGTTGGGATGCGAGCAAACAATCAATTATTCCTCTGTGTGCAAACAATTTTATTGGATATTATATTTAAAAAAAAATCAATTCTCTAATTGTGCTATTTTTCTATTTTTGTGTGAAATACTTAAACAATAGTTGAAATAAAAGTTAGCATTCAATCAATTTTTAATGAAAATCCCAATCAAGGACAAACATTAATTTCATTGCAGGTCAGTGACCCTGACCGTAGAAAATATTTGGAGCAGAGCCGAAGAGGTTAGCAAATGTTTAATTTTGGTCAGAAATTTAATCAATATTAACAGAGGTTACTGAACTTTTCTGACTTAATCTTAAGCAGGAAAATATCTTTTGAAAAATAAATTACTAGAGATATTATAAACATTACAAGTGGATAAAAATGTCCTGTAATAAATAATCCTGGTCCATTTTTTTTTCTTTATCACTTTCTTTGGTCTATTTTGGGCAACGTGGCGGCAAACCACTATTTTTATCCTCGCCGTGAAATTTATGTTTGTCGTGCGTACACGCTTGAACTATTTTATTTGGCGAATCGCAATCAGCAATTATTATCTTTCTCGGCCGGCACGTAATCAAAAAGTTCAAAAGCCAAGACCGCGAGAGCAACTTCGACGGCCGCTCAATCGCACAAATCTCAGACACCTCCCACGCCTCCCTGGGGGCACGCCGGGCCCAAAACTGACAGCTGAGAACCGAACAGCTCCACCTAGGATTAAAATTAAAAATGGAATAATAAACAATACTAAAAATTTTGGGCCTATTGATAAAGAATTTAAATGTCTTAATTACTATCCAAATTTACATAATACACATTTATAATCCGAAGATAAGTGTTGGATTTTTTTCTCAATTATAACTTAAACTGCTTAAATATTTCTGAACCTGATTTTGGATTTTTTTTATAATCCTTTAATCCTTTCACAACACAAAATTTCAAATGATTTTGTCTTTATTGCAAGTTTGTATTGAAAGAAAAGAAATTGATATAAACAATTTAATCTAAAAACAATGCAAACGGAGGAGATAAAATTAAAATAAAATTTATATAATAGAAAATTTAGTTCTTTAATAAGGAAAAATCGACAAATAATTTTTAAATTTGGCTGGGTTTCATTGTGTTGGAGTTTGCTTTCTTAAAAAAAATTGACTTCTATTTGATTAGCTGAATGGCTTATAAAATATTTCATTGATTTGAAAAATAAACAGTTCAGACATGATTAAATTAAAAAATAATAATAATTAATTTTTTTACCAAATTTAGTTTGAAGTATTGAATAATTTTTTTGGACTTTTTGACCGCAAGGGTGAGGTGTTGGTCACTAATTTATTTGTCCCTTTCTTTGCAGCTTCGTTCGGCTTTTGGTGCTCGCGTAGCGCGCGAGTGGCTGGGGCGAGTAGGGCGGAGAGGGGCCCCTTTGGCAGTGCGTTGCGAGTTGTGTGCTCCGCGCAGTCCGCGACTCGACGCCTTGTGGCTCAGATCATCGGTCGGCGCGGCCTCGTGTTTCTCTCGATTGTGAGCCCGACCGACCCAGCAGATCGTTTCACCGGCGCGGGGATTCAGTTTCGTGTGAGAGAAAAAAAACGCTTGCTTCCTTTATTTTGCACGTCGCTAATCACATTTTTTGCAATTTGAGATTCGAACCGACTTGCAAATCGGATGTTTCGAGGTGGGGAAAAAATATATTTTTTAGACACGTTTTGCTTCAATTTGGGAATATCTAAAATCAAAAGGTCTACTTCATTACTTTGGAGGTTAATCAATTTGATTTTTTTAATATCCACGCTTTTATTTTGCATTAATTTTCATTCACAATAAGACGTGCCTACGTCTATGGTGATTCAACTTCTTGCATGGGTGCAGACTGCGGTTTTTCGATACGCAATCGTTTTCGTCAATGAAAACTGCGTTGAAGAAATTTCATCTTGTTTTATAAAGGTTTTATTTTGCAAGAATTTATAATAAATGGAAGTTTTTTGGGAAAATGAGTAATTTCTGCCAAATTAGAATTTATTTAATAAAAAATAAAAGCATTAAAGGGCAAGTTTTAAATGTCTGGGAATAAAAGATTTGTTTGTGAAGTATTAAATTTCAGTAATAAGTTTTTGGCGGAGATTTTTATTCAGATTCTCTTTAAAATTGCTCGATTATTTTTTTACGGATTAATAATTTTTTTACAGTTTCTCTTTGAATAATTAATTATTTCTTTTTTATTAGAGTTAAAATTTAATATTTTGGAATATTTGCATAAAACTTTATTTTCTACTGTTAGATTTTAAATTTGATTGTTTTGATCATTCTGTTGTGCAGATTTGGCGGTAGCGGCGGCGCGCGATGAGAGATGAGTTGGTGCGACCTCGGGCTGGGAGCGCACGTGGGATGCAGCGGGTAGGCACCTAGTTTTCTCTCTTTTCGCGGACACTGCGCACGGACTATCTTTCTTTCTCTCACTCTCCCCCGTGTCCACTTAAATTCGCGACTTTTCGTGCGTAATTTGCAAAGAAGAAGAAATGAGCGGCGGCGGAAGCAGTCGGCGGAGCGCCGGCGCCGTGCGGGACGTTCTGGTGAACGCGGCGGTCACGCTGGTCATCGTGCTGCTGGCCGTGTTCCTCTACGTTTTGTGGATCAAGATTGTGCCGGGCAGCACCGCGGCCGGCGGCACTTTCTTGCCCCCCGAGCACCGCAACGCGTCCAACGCCAACTTTGACGAGCAACGCGGCATCGCAGAGCTCCGCAGCAGAGGTAGGACCTTTTTTACTTGCAATTTTATTTTTTAATTTTCATGAAATCCGAATCATAACTATGGAAGATTTTTTCAAATTATTTGTTAGGACAAATAATTTTTTTCTAGATATTTTTGGATGAATTCATTAAAATATAAAAATAGAACAGAAATCGAAGTCAGAATAGGATTGGACTGAATTTTAACTTCATCATAAAAAGACTTAAAAAATTCCCTTTTCTACTGAATATTTCTTTAACTATTAACATTATCAAATGATCACCCATCATGCTCAGCTTAATTGTGTTAAAATCGGATAAAATATAATTAATTGACTTAGATGGTCACTAATGTTTAAGAAAAAAAAACCATAACTCTATTACAAAGCACTTAGAACAGTAAAATAAAAGCAATGGAAAATTACCTAGAATCAAATAATCCCAAAAAAAATTGTGGTATGTTAAGATTGCATTATTTTTTTGTGTTTTTTTTTTATCAATGTGGTGTGATGTAGCTTAAAATTCACATTTAAAATTACTAGTTTTTACCCTTAAAATTCCAGCACAAGTTCATTCAGCAAATTATAAAAATTAAAAAAAACTTATTCCGCTTTGTAGCCTCATAACTTTTTATTTAATGGACAAGTATATATATTTTCGGCCGTCATTTTTTATTTCAAACACTTTTCTTATTTATAGATTATAATAAACATTTTATGAAGAAAATCAGTTCAAGAGATCTTCAGGGTGAAGTGAATTTCCTTAAAACTTGAAAGTTCTGAACATTATAAATTATAATTTAAAATGTGAAAATGAAATAAGATTTCATTGTTAGTTAACATCTGCAGATATTTATTCCCGTTGTTACTTTTGACCCGAGTCTATACAGGCAACTTGTTTGTTCTTTTCCACTATGCTAAAGCACTTTCGATTTCATCTCGTAGCTTGTATTTGTCAGGTAACGTTCTTTCGTATAATCCGCAGCGAACATCTTCTTTGAATCACTTTGAATATATCATTCGGACAAATAAGTTCTTTCGGAAATCGAGTTCAAAGCAAAGTCGATCGTTTCCACTTCCGGCCGGTTGCGCAACTCGCGGCTAATTGCTGACAAGTTGCCCAAAACAGAAACCATTCAGTCAATGGACATGTGTTTGCCGAGCGTGTGCAAATTACTTATGCAAATACCATTCCACATGTGCTCAATTTTCCGCAGCCGGTCTTTAAAGGCGGCCTATATTCACCACTTCTCTTTGAAGCCGCAATTCTCTTTCACTTTTCAACTGCAAATTTATGCAAACCGCGCGGCTCCTAACAAATAATAAAAGTCTCGCATTAGAATAACAAATTGCCCCATTTTGAAATTATTGATTTTATCACATTTTTTTATGATTTTCCGAAATCACTTACGCATAAATTTCAAGATAGCATCTCTCATGCGCCGAGCAAAAACACACAAAGCCACTTAATGATTCGCGGCTGAGATAAAATTAATACAACACATGCGTTTCCGCACACTCGGCTCGATTAGCGCTGAGAGTGCGCGATCGGTGTGTGAGAAATATGCTAATGATCGATCAGCAGCGTTAATTAAGTCCTGAAGTGGGCGAGGCAATGACAAGATAAGAATCATTAACAGAAACAATAAAAAACCCACTTTTATTTCTAAAAATAAAATTATAAAAATTGTGAAGCATAATTATTTTTTAAAATTTTGATATTGTTAAACAGTTTATATAAAATTTACGCAAATTCACTAGAAATTGTTAATTTAAATGGAAGAAATGTAAAAAATATGTTTTTTATTGTTATTTCGGAGTTTTGTTCCAGTTTAATAATAAAATTGTCAGTAATTCAGTAAAATTCACTTAAAAGTTAAGTAGCATTTTGATTTTAATTTATTCAAAGCAATATTTACAAATTTATGATTTCTAAAACAATGATTAAAATTAGAAGGAAAGGGTTATATTATTCAATTTTTCTACAAAACTATTTTTTTTTTAATTAAAATTTATCATATCCAATCAAAATCACTCAATTATATTAATATAATTGAGTTTTCCATGTTTTAAATTTTTATTTAAATAGCAAATATTATATAGCATTTTTTTACTTGAATCTGAAACTTTTCAGGCAGCTCTCGATTGAGCCGCTTCTTAAGTTGCTTGACTCAGCCGATAATTCTGTTTACTTTCCTAGAGCAGCGGTGAAAAGACGTGCTGACGAATTGTAATCGGCGCATAATAATCACGTAAGCACATAATAAATAGCTGATTGAGGCCATAATTACACACATTTCCTCTTGCGGCCGCGCGCTTGATTTACGCCGTTTTTTCGCTCTCCGCCTCGCGCTACAATTAAAAGTAATTAATTCGCAGCGGTTTTTACGCCAACTGATTTATTTCCACCTCTGTATAATAATGTCGTCGTGATTTTTGAATGGCTAGACTGCCGGGTGGCGAACAAGTCCTTTCAACTGGACCGCCCGGAAAAAAATATGAAACATCACAACGTGATACCGCAGCTTTCTTTGGCTTTCTTAAGTGCTGCTCTCGAGATAAATTAAATTTGGCCTGCGATGCCTGCGGAATTTTCACTGGTCCTCAAATTTGAAATACTAAATAATAATAAACATTGAAAATTTACAGAATTTGAAATTAATATTCCTTAAAATTTAAAATTTTTTCATTTATGATCAGAGGAATTTATTTGAGACTTACAGGATGACAGCGTTTTTTTTTTAATTCAAACCGTCAATAAATGGTTGATATCAAAATTTGCGATAAAAATTCACACCCTTAATTTCAGCTAAAAGACACGTCAGTGAAATGTTCTTATTGAGCGCTATAAAACGATTTCTGAACAATAACTTTTAGTATCTGGGACAAATAATTGATAAAAAAAGAACTCACCCCCCCATACTAACTATTCTTGCCATGAAATTCTTTGACCCTTTTTAATTTTTACCAATTTTTCGCCAAACTGTCAATCTATGATTTTTTAATGGTGGCATTTTTAAATTTTTATTTAATATGATGCTCCCTATATCGCCTTCTAGAGTTTCAAATTCTCCACATGATTCAGCATCACCAATACTTGTCAAGCCAAAGTACCCGCACGTGAACAGACATTAATCCCTCCTTCGGTCGGCCCAGCTTTTCTCGCCGTCGGCCGAGGGTGCCAAAAACTTGACCTGACGCCACTCAAATTTCCATCACCACGCGATCAGATGCGCCTCATTCTATTTTTTTTTCGCAAGGCCATACTCGCGATTCGAGTCTGAGTGCAGCTGGCAGATGTTCTCCTTGGCCTCTCCATACTAATTAAAAGACTGCTATTTTCTTTAACAAAAATAATCGCAAGTCAATTTGGAAAACAATGTTGGCTGAAAATAATCCGGGTACAGAAATACACCGAGTACCGCGCGCACAATATTAGTCTTGGACGGCGGCCAGGGTGGCTTATTTATTGTGATTCAATTGCAGATTTATTGGTCTAACCTCGATTTGCTCAGACACGCTGAGATGGGGGCTCGCCCTTTTTGCAGCAACGCACAATCTTTTACAAAATTAACCTCAGAAAATACTTCACTAGCGCCATAACTAAATTTTAAAACATATTAGGAAAATTTAGCGCTAGATAAATGTATGTAATTAATGCAACATGCAATGCTGCGGTCAAAAGGAATCAATTAGTGACAAAAAGATCCAAGTCACTCTGAAATTTTTCGAGAAAATAGCGATTGAACTTGATTAAAGTGATCAAGTGATCTCATTGCGTATAAATGCGCAATTTTTATATGAAATGATAAAAGATAAAAGGAAAACATCTTGGCCTATATATTCAATCGGCACTTCTTCTTTGCGTCGACATTGGGCAATTTTACGGCGCAGCAATAAATTGAGGCTCTCTGCTGAATGTGCATCTCTCATCCATTTTGCGAAAGAACTAAATTTTTTGCTGACGGTCCCGACAGAAGCCATCGGATGGCACTTTATTCATTGTGATGCTAATCAATCAGAGTAGCGGAGTGCACCACGCCCATTTCGTTTCACTCCATCAATATGACAAAGCGATGGACACACAAATAGATGCACTCTGAATGTGTGTCTATGAGCAGCTGTCGGCGCCTCCGCACACAAAAACCATCAACGCCCACCAATTTTTCGATATTCAAGAGAGAGAGAAAGACAAAAATTTTGAGAGAAAAACCGACTGGCCTAAATTTGGTTCGGCGGTCATTGCGACGAGGGCTAATGAAGAAAATCAACAAACGCTGCGTCTCACCGTCCGACTCATGGATAACAGGCGTTTTTTTATTAAGTCGGGATTTTGGACTCGAAGCGTGGCTCGGCTCCAATTTACTTCAAGGAGAAAAGTTTTAAAGCACAACGTATGTAAACCACTTCTAAATTTGAACTCGGTGACAACCGGAAATTCCAAAAGGCTGATGAATATTTAAAAAAAAATCGGTAAATTTTTGCATTTTTCTGTAGGATTTTAAGCAAATTTAATTGCCTTAAATTGATTGAGGTTCCGGTTTAAATCAGAAAAAACAAAACAATTTGAAGCAAATGCCTTCTAATTTTTTGAAAAATCCAAATTTTAACTTAATACATTCAAAATACTTAAAAATTAATTAATCAACTTATTCATCTAATGCTAATGGATCAAAAATGTGCTTTGAGATTCAGGTATTTCGAATTTAACTAGAAATTTTTCGCATTTTCGAATATTAAAAAACAATAAATAAAGTAATGATTTAATAAGTGAAAGGTGTCTATAACAATATTAGTCGGGGCGGCGTGTATGATTGTGTTGTTTTGCTCCGTGTTTGACACTTGTATGTTACTAGATGGTACATTATTCATTAGAGCACACACATCATATTACACACTTGGAGTAAGTGGAGACGGTGGCATGTCTCTCTCTCTCATAAAAAAGCGACACTGCCGACGGACGCGACCCGACGAAAGCATATTTTCTGCTCGCGCGCTGAAAGGATCAATTTTCTGCCTGCC